GATTTCTGAAATGGACGACTTTCAGGCCGGATGATTATTGAGGGACCACTGTACATGTATACAATTATGGTAACTGACAAGTATAAACTACTTTATAGAAATTCTCTTGTTATGCAAAACATTTTGTGCAGCCTTAAAACTAACTTATAATTACTAGACAGTGAGACACATATGGTACATGAAAGTAAGAATACTATATTGAAGGTATTCAGCAATTTAATAAAAAATTCTAATTAAAAATACATTTAAGGATGAAGCTAGGTACCTGAACTGATACAAAGAAAATATTGGGAGCCTCTGGAATCTTCAGACAAAAAGTTCCAGATTTTAGGTCGTTTTATGCACAGTACATGTATATTTTTACACAGGTTGAAGCAGACACCTAGAATATCAGAGATTTTTGTGTCTGGTATTATGCCTATGAGTTGTTGCAGCTACCAATGAAAAGTTTTAGAGCAAGATTGATATTACAAGTGACTGTCCTGTACATGTAGTATACACAGTAGTATGAGTGAATTTTTCTTTCTTTCAACGTACCAGCCATATCCCACTGAGGTGGGGTGGCCCAAAAGGAAAAACGAAAGTTTCTCCTTTTAAATTTAGTAATATATACAGGAGAAGGGGTTACTAGCCCCTTGCTCCAGGCATTTTAGTCGCCTCTTACGAAACGCATGGCTTACGGAGGAAGAATTCTGTTCCACTTCCCCATGGAGATAAGAGGAAATAAACAAGAACAAGAACTAGAAAGAAAATAGAAGGAAACCCAGAGGGGTATGTATATATATATGCTTGTACATGTATGTGTAGTGTGACCTAAGTGTAAGTAGAAGTAGCAAGATGTACCCGAAATCCTGCATGTTTATTTATATTTTATTTATTATCACACTGGCCGATTCCCACCAAGGCAGGGTGGCCCGAAAAAGAAAAACTTTCACCATCATTCACTCCATCACTGTCTTGCCAGAAGGGTGCTTTACACTACAGTTTTTAAACTGCAACATTAACACCCCTCCTTCAGAGTGCAGGCACTGTACTTCCCATCTCCAGGACTCAAGTCCGGCCTGCCGGTTTCCCTGAATCCCTTCATACCTGGAGTTTACCTGGAGAGAGTTCCGAGTGTCTCTGCGTGTTTGTGGGCGTTTTGTGGTATGCATACATACATAACACCTCTTCTGAGCATTTTTCTTGGCAGTAGTAGGAGGCAGTTGTATGGGGTAGTGATCACCAGGCCTCATACGAGATGACGTCTGTGGGCGCTGGTCTATTGCAGGAGTTGCTCCTTGGTACTTTGCAATTATTTGTCTGATTACTGACAGGCAAAATTCACCATATTTTGGTGTTTTGTTGGTCTTCAACTTGTATATGTTATAAGCATTTAGCATAGAGATATCAACAAGATGGAAAAAAAGTTTTATATACCACTTATAACTCTTGCGTACACAGTCTGCAAACCCAATCTGCATCTCACATTTGTCCACTAAGCGCATATTGAGGGTGTAGTCCATGACAGCTGCAGGCTTTAGAATGAGTTAATTGGTCTCTCTGTTGTCCCTGCCACGGGTACCATTTCGTTTTCGTGAACTGATGTCAACAATGTGACATCACGTTTGTCATGCCACCGAAATGCCATGATGTCATTGGCAGCAAGGCTTGCACCTCACCTCTGCGAATGCCAGCGTTGAACCTTGGAAATATGTTTACGTTTTACCATGCACGTGCCACACACGTCTGTAAAAGTTCACTCGCAAGAAATCACTGAGTAAGGGGCTTGTGTACCAGTTATCAGTAAATAACAATGCCCCTTACCAAGATAGGGGTTCCATCATTGTTCGAACCACATCACCAGAGATACCCAATAACTTCATGGATCTCTCAAAGTATTACTGCCAGTGTACACAATGATATCCAAAACTAGACCACTTCTGCAATCACCCCAGTACAAATAGCTTTATCCCAAAAGTGTTTCCTCTTGCTTGGTATATATTGCTTGAATGAGAGTCTTCCTTTGAATAAATCAAGGACTCATCAATAACAAGCTTCCTGAAGGATAAAAAAACATGCAGCACTTTTGTTTCAGGTACATAAACCACATTTCTGATCTTATAAAACCCTGTCGCTTCTGTCAGGCCTGTTTTGTCTGAAAAGTGTAACATACGTAACAGTATCAGAAAACGATTGACACCTGTAATGTCACTAAAACCTGGAGTTGAAATCAGGCGTTCTGTTGCCCAGTATGGGGTGACAGTGTGCTTATACCATGAGTCAAAGCATTATTGTGGCAAAAAACAGGTACATCTCTGCCACATTTTTGTCTCCTTCCACTTGTGTAGCCGTGATTTTGGTGAGAGAATTGTATTTGCCATGGTGTAATCAAAGTATGTGTTTGTTTCCCTGACAATGATGTCCATCAGGGGTTCATCGAAGAATAACTCAAAGCATCCAGTTCACTGATTGTTCCAAGTGGACAAGTGGCTTTATTCCACTTTGTGTTTCATCAAAGTCATGGGGACTGGGAACAAATTTCGTCACCGTCCTGCCAATCCCAGTTTGGCGTCTGCTGGTGGGGTCTGGATATTGTACCGTGGTTGTGGTTGTGCAGTTGTGGTTGTGCAGGTTGTGGTTGTGCAGGTTGTGGTGTGCAGGTTTTTGGGAGTGTGGGGTAGGGTGAGGCTGGTTGTTGTGCTGAGTCAGCAGCGTGGGTAGTAGCGTGGCCCGCTGATGGTGCCACATGGGCCGTGCCACCCTCACTATCACCCCCCACTGCCTCCTCCCTCACTGTCACCATTCATACCCATCGTTACAAAATCGTCAAACTTCACTATCAGGTCGTGGTGTAGGGCCACGGGATGGCTCCCAGATTTCTCCTTCCCCTTGGAACAACATATGAAACACTACCAGAGCCCCCATGCTACGTCTACATACTGGGCCCCTTCACTGGGGAATATTTTACTCTCACTGTCACTAGAACGCTTTCAATGACCTTGAAAAACACTATCACTATCACTGTTATCATTGGGTGTTGTACACGACCAAAAAGTTTCCTCTTTCGCCTGGTACAGGCGAACGTGAACGTGAACAAGCCGGCACAGCACCAGAGGTGGAAGGTTGTGGGTCATCTGGGTTTTCATCCTAATTACGTTATCCTGGGCACTTTTTCCGGTTAAACTCGCTTCAAAACCCTGGAATTCACTGCACTGACATTTTCATCGCTGTTAACCCCTGGGAACAAAAGACCTCCAATCCGCCAAGGAGTGAGGAACTTCTTCGAGAGGCAGGTAAAATTTGGGCTAACACAGGTTTCCAAATGCACCGTTGGGTCCCGATTTTTTTTTCACAGGGTGCAACACCCCTGAGACCCATTCTCTCTTCGGGTAGGCCTACAGCTTTGGCGCTTGATTTGAAGCCGCTAGAATTTGTGCGTAAAATACCCTCAGAAACATTTGGGTCGTAGACTATTTATACGTCGGAACATTAAAGGGTAAACTATCTGCCCCAAAAAGCCTAGCCAGCTAGGTGTTCTAGTGGTCACTCTTAATCTTATTTAACTACATGAAACCACACAATAACCAAATTTCTGTAAACCAGCATTGTAACCTTATAGAGATAAACTTTGAATTGAATTTGAATTTGTATATGAGGAAAAGCAGGGTCAAGTACATTGCCTTGGGTACCCTATCTCAACAGGTTGTGTTGATGAGGTTATGCCCTTGAAGAAACGACATAATTTGGGGTGTTTGTTAAGGTAGGACTAAGTATGCACTTATAATCTCCCAAACCATAATGAAAGTTTAACCCTTTTTTGGCCAACATAAAAAGGGGTTTCCCAAAGTGGACAGTATACCTCTGGGGGCAGTGGAAAGACCAGGAGGCACTTAGGAAAAAGAAGTATAGGGGGAGCAGGGTGGCATCAGAGCCAACGGGATTTGTTTTACAAAATCTATTATTTACAAAATCAAGTCATGAAAAACTTCAGTAACACAATGCTTTACAAAGAATAAAATTAACATAGAGTTACACATGAAAGCATAGTTTCATTTTATTTTGTGGTCCAAAGCTTGAGTTAAAAGTCCAAACACTTGTTTGGACGTGCTACATACCATATGCCAGCCAGATAAGACAGCATACTCCATGAGTACTGGTGACGATCAGCCAAAGTTCAAAAACTCATATCAAGATTTTTGGCTACAAAAATACATTTCTGACTGCTACCCTGAACTGTGGAACAAAGTCAAAATGTACTTTACTGTCTTCACAACATCATATTTAGTAGAGCGAGGCTTTATTGCAGTTCCCAAGCTTCTTTCCAAGCAAAGAAACTGATTGAAAATTACTGAATGCAGGGATCTAAGACTTCTTCTTAGGGCCTTCAAGCCTGATGCTGAGCTGATGTTCCTGCACCAAGCACATCCATCTCATTAAAACTGTGAAGACAACGTACTGTAGTTACAGATGAGATGTAAATTTAACCTTTCATATTGTTAAATTAATTGGTTTACTATGTTAATTTTTATTTGTGAAAGAAATACACTTGTTTATAGTGTTAGATTAGTTGTTATTTTGAATTTGCAGCAAACCTAATACCAAGAAAGAGGTGTATTTGTGTGTGTGTGTGGAGGGTGAGGGTGCTAAGGATGTGGCCTGAGATCCAAGGTGGCAGCAGCTTGAAAAGGTTTGGGAACCACTAACACAGAACTATGTCATTGAGGCCTGGTTCCCTCAATTAATTCTACGTAATGAACTCAGCTCACTCAGAGTAGCTGTGAGAAGTAAATTTCGGCCTAGGTATGAGACAGTGAGTTTGAAACACGGAGTGTGCACAGTATACAAAAAATCCTGTGCCACGTGATGCATGATTAGGAAAAACAAAACTCTGACCATTTCTTTGGTTTAAAATGGCAAGCTTGAGGTGTTTTCTAGGATGGTTTTATGGTCTTAAATTGGCTGACCCAGCATTAGGCGGTACATACAAGCACTGAATAGAAGCAAACAGTTAAACTGACCTTACATTTGAGTTCCTTTTCGATAACCTTGTAGACATCTTCAAGAGGAGATTTTGGAGCACTGGAGTGCAGGACCTTCATGGTATTAACATACTCCACAGGTAGCAAGTACTCCAGGGAGCCCAGATGCTGACCAACCTGCACATAATTCCAATATTCACACTTTTTTTTTACAGTTGTGAATATTATAAAATCATTGATATAACAGCATACAATTCATGATTATCTTACCTTAACAAAGGCACCACCATTTAAACAACACAGATCTAGCAAGTGTTTGGCAGAGCGCAAATGAGTCTGAAACAGAAAAGAAAAGGGGGATATGAAAAATTTTTTGAACATTTCAAAACAAGATACATATACATACATGTAGAATGACCACTGTGAAAAAATAGTGAAATTCCAAGTGCTTTTGTGATTTCTCATATTATCAAGGAACTGTGAAATATTTTAATACATACAGTTAACTTTGTACTCCAATATTCACACCAGCTAATGTGGAATTGTTCAAACAGCACATATACAGTATCAACAGCCTCAAATAATTTTATTCATCAAATCAATCTAGAAATGTATCATTATCTTCACCTTGATCATCTGCAGAGAACATGTAACTGTTCCACAAGCAGAGAATGTGAACATTACTAGCACTTTGCATTCCTTTCCTCCAGGGTCTTTCAACATGAACATCTTAACTAACTAAATTTATGGTATTCATGCTCAGAGCACTTTGTTTAAATTATGTACCTGAATGGTAACAATATTTTGTAAATTTCCCTTATATTTTGTGTAATGTCAGAATCCTTACTCCAGGAGTTGAAGCCTAAGGTTATATCAGAGAGACTGAATTATACAGTATTGATAATAAAAACAAAGATGCAAATCATTGAAGATTTCTGTGTATGAAGCATAATTAATGACAACCAAGTATCCATAGTGCAAAATCTATTTGACAAAACTAAATATGATCAATCCATATTTCAGTTAATGATAAATTACTTCTTCTTCTTATGACCAGAGCTTTGGTAAGATGGGTAAGGAAGAAGGATGGGAATATTGGAAAAGGGTGGGAGGGGGGAGAGAGGTAGGATATAAAAGGTAAGTGGCCCAACCACTTTGGTGTAATTTAAAAAGTGTATGTGAAATGATAAGATATTCTTTAAGGGGTATAACACTAACCCATCAGAGTCACATAGATATAACAGATATATAAGTATATGACTCTGAATTGGTAGTAATTATACAAGTTGCAATTGCTTTTTTTTTTTTTTTTGCGATTCACAACGGATATTTATGCGACAATGAAGGCAATAATTTTCTGGCCAGTTTATAGAATTACGTGACAATGGCCTCTTACAGGTGGTGTCCAGCCATGGTAAATAGCATAATTTTTACATTAGGTTGTTATATAAGATGTCTCCCTAATTGGGGGCGATGATTTTCTTAGTATACATAGAAGGGTTCTGGTGCTACCCAATTGATAAATTACTAAATTTTATTAACACAATACAGTGGCCCCTTGAGTTTTGATTTGCTCTCATATATATTTCATATTGAGTTGAAAAAAAAATTAAAGATACCATAAATGTACGATGGTTGGCAGGTGCGACTGGGCCTCAGCCCAGAGACAAGAAAGGGTAATGAAAAGGTCTGAAATTCAGTGATGGTGAAGGGTGTATTGGAGGTAAATGGGATGGAAATGAGGAAGGAAGGCAGAAGGAGGAAGACTGTATCAGACGTGTGAACCAGACAGATGGTGGGAGACAGCAAAAACAAGAGTGCAAATATTAAGTATACAATTCCTTACTAATCTGCCAGCCTGCCTCCATCCCTGCCTACCTGAATCCCTACCTGCCAGCCTGGCTGCCTTCCTACCTACCTACCTGCCTCCCTCCCTCCCTCCCTCCCTACCTGACTGCTTGCTTGCTTGCTTGCTTGCTTACTTGCCTGCCTGCCTGACAACACCACACCTAACTGCTAAGCTCAACTGCATCTACTAAATAAAATACAGTACGTAATGTGTTAAGACACTTATAACTGAAGCTTCACTATTACTGATGTACCACAGCATTACTGCTTCTTCCAAGCAGTTTTAGCCCAGGAGCTTTTGGATTACAAGTCTATGCACAGAAAGAATGATACTACTTACCTGTGACTTGACCTCAGCATAGTTATCCGATGCTGGCGTAACTGAACCCGAATATAGGGACTTTCGATAATCAACAACAATTTTTGTTACCTGGCAATCACACACATTAGATATTAATTAAACTGGAATATAGATATTCATTTGCAAAGAGTTACAACAGACAGATAAAGGAACAATGTAGGCATAATTCACATAGTAACATTTAACAAAATCCTGAATACGCCTAGTATTTTGAGCAAAACTTAAACTAGAAGTAATTTAAGTGTCATGAGTGACACTAAAGTTAGTTTACAAAATGTTAAAATAGCTTTGCTTATAATCTGTGTATGCCTAGTATTTTGAGCAAAACTTAAACTAGAAGTAATTTAAGTGTCATGAGTGACACTAAAGTTAGTTTACAAAATGTTAAAATAGCTTTGCTTATAATCTGTGTTTGCTTCACAGGTGCTAAATGGGCAAACAATATGCCAACCACTTTGCCACCAGAGCAATAAGTTGAACATGCAATGTTTTTTAACAATAATTTGTCAACAGAAATTCCAAAGCCATCCTTCCAAAATGTTACCAAACTACTTCACAGTTTAGAGGCAAATGAGATGGTTGGTTAAAAGCAGCTATTTGTGGAGCAGTTTAGTTAAATTGTGGATAATAAAAGTGGAAGTTTTCTGTGGCTTCACTGATTGTCTTGTGGCTCTTGACAAAGTTATAAAGGATCAATGCATTATTCTGAAGTAAGCATGGCTGGTATGAGTTTTGTTAGATGTATTCAGTTAGCCCCTGTAAAGCCAACACAAAAATAAAAGATTTTAGGAAAAGTTTCTTCCCATTTATTAACCAATTTTTGTGCCTCACTATTATGTACTTCTTAATTACATTATTAAGATACTATAAGCAGAAAAAGTCTGTTTCACAGCATTTAGTTATCCTTATGCTAAACATTATCAATATGGTTCCAGTCACATTCATCAAACACTTTTTCTTTTCTAAAGTAAATAAACAGTGCATACTATACACAAATAACCCACACATAGGAGAGAGAAGCTTATGATGATGCATCTGTTCAACTTGGACCATTTACAAAGTCACACTAACACAAAAGAGTGAGGGAGCCAGTACATATAGGCGAGGGGGGACAGGGATGGGACCAAGAGAGGAAGAAAAAGTAGTGGTAGTGGTAATGTGGGTAGCAGAAGTAGTAGTAGAAGTAGCAGTGGTAGCAGAAAGTAGGGAGAGTAGTTTTAGTGGCACAAGAGATAGGAAGGGAAGTTAAAGATGAAGGGAGGCAAAAGTAATAGTAGCAATAGTAGAAGAAATGGGGCAGTGGATGAAGTAGTATTAGAAGTAGGGTCAGTCTAAGGACAAGAAAAAGGGGCACTGCAGGAAAGCTAAGGGCCCACAAAGGGTAGGACCAAACACACAGGGGGAAAATATGACACCAATCATGCTCTTTTCTGTTATATTAGAGATCATAGTCATCCTACTGACTGGTCCTCTGCTGAAACTGTCTACCCTACTTCTAGCCTCCACAGTTACTGTCCTGTTGAAGCATCCCTTATATACAACTTTCCTTGTAAGAATCTTAGTCCTGGCTTTGTCTCTGTAGATGCCTTCCTTTCTCATTACATTGTCAAACTTCAGAACACTCATGACTTGACCTGATCCCTTCTTCTCCTCTCCCTACCTCTTCTCCTTTCCTATTTTTCCTTTTTTTCTTCTTTTTCCTTTCTTCTGCCTAACTGCATTTTTGGTCCCACCCCTTGTGGGCCTTTAGCTTTTCTGCAGTGCTCCTTTGTCTTGTCCTTAGATTGACCCCACTAGTATTACTATGTCTACCACTCCATTTCTTCTACTACTGCTACTATTACTTTTGCCTCCCTTCACTCTTCACTCCCCTACTTATCTCTTGTGATACTAAAACCATTCTCCCTACTTTCTACTATTGCTACTACTTCCACCACCTACCTTACCACTACTACTACTTCGTTTTCTTCCTCTCGTGGTCCTGTCCTTGTCCCCCTAACCTATACAGTGGTACCTTGACTAAAGAGTTTAATTCGTTCCATGACCGAGCTCGTAACTCAATTCCCTCATACATCAACTCAATTTTCCTCGTTGAAATTAATTGAAATGCCATTAATCCATTCCAGCCCCCAAAAAATCGCCCCAATTTTTTTGTTATGGGCTTTTAAATAAGAAAAGTGTACAGTGAAACCTTGACTTACAAGTGCCCCAACATACGAGTTTTTTTAATTAAGAGCTGTCGCTCAGTCGAGAGTTACAAGTGAGCTTCAGAACACCGCCACTAGTTAGCACAGTGAATGCTACAACATCCACCCAGCAGTGCACATGTTTGCCTCACTGTGGAAGCATTTCTCTTGTGTTGTGCTTGCATTTTGTGCAGTTATTTTAGGAAATTTCTTTTTTCTGACCATGGGTCCTAAGAAAGTAAGTGCAAAGGACAGTGCTGAGAAGAAAAAGAGGATGATGTCCATTGAATTAAAGAATGAAATCATAGATAAATAAGAGTGAGGTGTGTGGCTTGTGGACTTGGCCAGGCAGTACCAGAGTAGTACTTCTACGATATGTACGATACTAAAGCAGAAGGAATCGATAAAGGCTATAGAGCCAGCCAAAGGCATTACAATAATTTAAGTTCAACGATAAAGTGTAGCATTAAGAGTGTAGCAATTAAATTCAGCAATAAAGTGTAGCAATTAAGTTCAGCAATAAAGTGCAGCATTAAGTGTGTAGCAAGTAGCCTATCTTTTCCACCCTCCACCTCCACCCTCAACCTCTACCAGCATCTGTTCTCCAAGGTAAATACCTGGGGTCTACCTGGAGGGTATTCCAGGGATCAACACCCCCACCGCCCAGTCCATGACCAGGCCTCCCAGTGGATCAGGGCCTGATCAATGGATAGCGTGCTGGCTGCACGCTATCCAACGTACGAACCACAGCCCGGCTGATCCGGCACTGACTTTAGGTATCTGTCCAGCTTCCTCTTGAAGACAACCAGGGTTCTGGAAATATAAACACATATGCAGTATAATGTGATCCTTTATTGACTATGTTTTGCCCACACAGTGGGCTTTTTCAAGTCACAAACAGATCTACCTGGGGTGGAAGGGCTGCAAATATTTATAGTCAGGTTCAGAATGTTGAGGTCAGGTGGAGAATGCTGCATCTGATGATGTACCGAGTGGGGTTATAGAGTCTAAAATCTTGGGTAGCTTGGAAATGAGATTGGATATGTTTGTGAGCAGACTTTCTTCAGTGTTCTTCCATTCCTGTGTTCTTATGTGGGATAGCGATGAAGAAGTTTCTTGGCAAGTGGTTCAGCTATGTTATAGAAGCCACTATTCTGGTTGAAGTTTTAGGATATAGAAATAAGTGATGATTCCAGGATTCTTCGGTATTGAGTGTTGTCTTCTGTGGCGATAAGAATCCTGGAATCATCACTTATTTCTATATCCGAAAACTTCAACCAGAATAGTGGCTTCTATAACATAGCTGAACCACTTGCCAAGAAACTTCTTCATCGCTATCCCACATAAGAACACAGGAATGGAAGAACACCGAAGAAAGTCTGCTCACAAACATATCCAATCTCATTTCCAAGCCACCCAAGATTTTAGACTCTATAACCCCACTCGGTACATCATCAGATGCAGCATTCTCCACCTGACCCCAACATTCTGAACCTGACTATAAATACTCGCGGCCCTTCCACCCCAGGTAGATCTGTTTGTGACTTAAAAAAGCCCACTGTGTGGGCAAAACGTAGTCAATAAAGGATCACATTATACTGCATGTGTGTTTATATTTCCATTGTGTCGGTATTTTATACCATTTATTTCAACCAGGGTTCTACTGGTAATGCCCCTTACTGCTGGTGGGAGGCTGTTGAACAGTTTTGGGCCCCGGACACTTACTGCATTTTCTCTTAGTGTACCAGTGACGCCCCTACTTTTCACTGGGGTATGTTGCATCACCTGCCGAGTCTTTTGCTTTCACATGGAGTGATTTCTGTGTGCATATTAGGGACCAGTCCCTCCAGGATCTTCCAGGTGTAGATTATGATATATCTCTCTCACCTGCATTCCAGTGAGTACAAGTCAAGTGCTTCCAGGCATTCCCAGTAGTTAAGGTGTTTGATGGACCTTACATGTGCAGTAAAGGTTCTTTGTACATTCTCTGGATCTGCAATTTCACCTGCCTTGAGTGAGGATGTTAATGTACAGCAGTATTCCAGCCTAGAGAGAATAAGTGATTTAAAAAGGATCATCAATGGCTTAGCATCTCTTGTCTTGAAGGTTCTCATTATCCATCCTATCAGTTTCCTCACAGATGTGATAGTCGCATTGTTGTGGTTCTTGAAGGTGAGGTCTTCGGACATTACCACACCCAGGTCCTTCACATTACTTTTCCGCTCTATTGCATGATTAGAGTTTGTAGTACACTCTGTCCTAGTTATTATTTCCAAAAGTTTTCCATAATGGAGTAGTTGGAATTTGTCTTCATTGAACATCATATTGTTCTCTGTTGCCCATTGGAAAACTTGGTTTATGTCTTCTTGGAGCTTTGCCATGTCCTCAATGGATGATGCTCTCATGCAAATCCTAGTATCATCTGCAAAGGATGATACAGTGCTATGGTTTACATCTCTGTCTGTGTCTGACATAAGAATGAGGAACAGGATAGGTGCGAGTACTGTGCCTTGTGGGACAGAGCTCTTCACTAAGACAGCATCCGATTTAACTCTGTTTACCACTACTCTTTGTGTGCGATTGGTTAGAAAGTTGAAGATCCATCTGCCTACTTTGCCAGTTATCCCTTTAGCACACATTTTGTGTGCTACTAACACCATGGTCGCACTTATCAAAGGCTTTTGCAAAATCTGTGTATGCTACATCTGCATTCTGTTTGTTTGTTTTCCAGTGCATCTAAGACCATATCATGGTAGTGTAGCAGTTGCGAAAGGCAGGAGCGACCTGCTCTGAAACCATGTTGCCCTGGATTGTGCAATTTTTGGGAGTCCAGATGGTTTGCTATCCTGCTTCTTAGAACTCTTTCAAAGATTTTTATGATATGGGACATTAAAGCTATTGGTCTATAGTTCTTAGCTACTGCTTTGCTGCCACCTCTATGGAGTGGGGCTATATCTGTTGTTTTTAGTGACTGTGGAATCTCGCCTGTGTCTAAGCTCCTTCTCCATAGTATACTTAGGGCCCGTGAGAGGGGTTTGTTGCAGTTCTTAATGAACACCAAGTTCCACGAGTCTGGGCCTAGGGCTGATTGCATGGGCAAGTCATCGATGGCTTTCTCAAAGTCTAGTGGAGTTAGGGTTATGTCAGAAATCTGGCATATATTGGCAGGGTTTTGAGGCTCATTCATGAAAAAATTGTTTGGATTGTCTATCTTTAGATTGGTTAGTGGCCCGTTGAGCACAGTAATATTGAGATTTCAGTATCTCACTCATTTCTTTGTTGTTGTCTGAGCAGGGGCCCTATACTAGAAGTGGTTTTTGCCTTGTTTTTGGCATATGAAAAGAAATATTTCGAATTCGTTTCAATTTCACTAATCGCTTTTAGCTCCTCTTGTCTCTCCTGGATCCTGTATGAGTCCTTTAACTTTAGCTCAATATTTTCCACTTCCCTGGTTAGCGCTTCCTTCCGTGTACCAGATAATCTGGCATTCTAGAGAAGCTCAGTGATTCTTCGTCTTCTCCTGTAGAGGGAGCATCTCTTTCTCTCCACTTTACTTCTTCTGTTTTCTTATAGGAATATACCTTGAACATACTTCAGCTACCAGGAGGTTGATCTTTTCAAGGCATTAGTTAGGGTCCATGTAATTTAAGATATCCTCCCAGCATGTTTCATTTAGGGCATAGTTTACTTGATCCCAGATGATATTTTTGTTGTTGAAGTTGAATTTGGTAAAGGTACCCTCATAGCTGTATGCATTTTGCTGTTTATTTCTTTACATTCTCTATTATGTTTTATGTTTTTATATAACATTTCTTATTTATAAATACATTGTTTCAGTGTTTTCCTTATGAAACTAGTGATCTAGTGCAGTTAGCCTCACATTATTATTATAATCAAGGGGGAAGCGCCAAACCCGGAGGATTATACAGTAGTTAGCCTCACAAACACTCCGTTTTCAGAAGGGGAAGAATGGGAAGATATGGTAAGAGCAGGAGTGGCTGCTACCACTTGTCACATAATGACATATTTTATTCATTCTAGAGTATATATCATGTTTCTATGTTATTTACATTGTTTATTATGCCATATTAGATCAATTGTGATTAGATCAATTGTGGTGATGTGTACTTAGCCCAGTGAGGACTGCTGTGGGGACTTCCAGCCCATTTTCGGTGCTGCCTGGCGAATGTGGGTGTTCTACTGGGAATGTCACAACGAGTACCAAGGATGGAGTGGAAACTGGGTTGGGCAGGTGTTCTCGTTTGTGGGTCTGGTTTTGGGTTTAATTAAGGGGACCTGCCTAGCGTTGGCCGCCTGGCCTGCTGCAGTATTTCTTTTTACTTGTGCTCTTATGAGCAGGCTTTTGGCTTCAGCTCCCTCAGTGCCCTGGTGATGGACCTGGTGCTCCAGCTCCTTCGGTGCCCTGGTGATGGACCTGGTGCTTCAGCTCCTTCGGTGCCCTGGTGATGGACCTGGTGCTTCAGCTCCTTCGGTGCCCTGGTGGTGGACCAGGCGCTTCAGCTCCCTCGGTGCCCTGGTGATGGACCAGGTGCTTCAGTTCCCTCGGTGCCCTGGTGATGGACCAGGTGCTTCAGTTCCCTTGGTGCCCTAGTGATGGACCAGGTGCTTCAGCTCCTCAGTGCCCTGGTGATGGACCAGGTGCTTCAGTTCCCTCAGTGCCCTGGTGATGGACCAGGTGCTTCAGCTCCCTCGGTGCTCTGGTGATGGACCAGGTGCTTCAGTTCCCTCGGTGCCCTGGTGATAGACCAGGTGTTTCAGTTCCCTTGGTGCCCTGGTGATTGACCAGGTGCTTCAGCTCCCTCAGTGCCCTGGTGATGGACCAGGTGCTTCAGTTCCCTCGGTGCCCTGGTGATGGACCAGGTGCTTCAGCTCCCTCGGTGCTCTGGTGATGGACCAGGTGCTTCAGTTCCCTCAGTGCCCTGGTGATGGACCAGGTGCCTCAGTACCCTGGTGATGGACCAGGTACTTCAGCTCCCTCAGTATCCTCTTTAATAGTTCCCTGGTTATCAAAGCTTATTATATGGATGGAGTAGAAGGTGGGTTGGGCAGGTGGTTTTGTTTGTGGGTCTGGGTTTGAGGGAGATCTGCCTAGTGTGGGCCGGTTGGCTTGCTGCAGTGTTCCTTCTATCTGTATTCTATGAGTGAGAGGGGATGGATTTGACCGGGACTTGCACATTGATGGGAGGGGGGGGGGTTGTCGGGGCTTGTTACTTGGGTGGCTCTGGGGATAGGTTGTGCAAATATTTTTGTTAATGGGTTGGTTCTGACATGGACCTGCCAAGTATGGGCCGGTAGGCCTTTTGCAGTTTTCCTCATTTCTTGTGTTCTTGTGTTCTAAATACATGAGTGAGAGAGGTTGGATTTGAGTGGGACTTGCACATCAGAGCTTATTTCTTGGGTAGCATTAAGAATTGGGTTGGGCAAATGTTTTGTTAGTGGGATGGATTGCAAAGGACCTGCCTAGTATGGGCCAACAGGCCTGCTGCAGTGTTCCTTCTTTCTTATGTTCTTATAAATAAGCCGTAGAGTGAAACTAGCGTTATACTGAAGTACATATTTTCTCCCGCCTCCCGAGAGCAGGAATACCTCTGGAACGGATTAATAGCATTTCAGTTAATTTCAATGAGGAAAACTGACAAGCTAGGTCACAGAATGGATTAAACTCATAAGTCAAGGTACCACTGTATTTATAAATAAGAAATGATTTTTGCCCTTTTCACCAGGTCCCAGTAAAGTTTTAGAAATTCTGGAGTATATATGAAACTCCTTGAAGCACAGTTTAAGAAGAGTGTCACTCCACTGCTGACAGTGCAGCAGTGGAGTAACATTTGATGATCGTGCACTGCCTTGGCTTTATTTTTCACTGTTACACAGAAACATGTCTATCTGTTTGTTTCTGTCTATCTGTTAGCTTCTATCTGTATATCTGTCTGTCTATTTGTCTGTCTAGCTCTATGTTTATCTCTGTCTCTGCTTATCTGTCTGCCTGTGTTTCTGTCTTCCTGTCTCTCTACTTGTCTCTGTCTCAGAGAGAGAGCTGCTCATGAGCCAATAGGTATTACACACGATGCAGAATTGTCACATCTGATTCCTGAACACATGAAAATGTGTACTACTTGCCAGTCATGCTTATTATGCCTTATATCTACAAGCATAGTACAGTGGACCCCCGCTTTACGATCAGCTCCCAATGCGACCAATTATGTAAGTGTATTTATGTAAGTGCGTTTGTACGTGTATGTTTGGGGGTCTGAAATGGACTAATCTAATTCACAATATTCCTTATGGGACCAAATTCGTTCGGTAATGGCACCTGAACATACTTCTGGAATGAAATAATATCGTAAGCCGGGGTCCACTGTATAGCACTTTGTCTGGATTTTTTGGGTCATCCTAGGTAATTTACACTATGTATAACTGTATTTATGTGTACCTGTGAGATAGAGACAGAGATAGACAGAGACAGAGATAGATACAGGCAGACAGAGGGAGATAGAGACTGCCAGCCAGCCGGCTAGCCAATCAGCTTGCCAGCCAGCTGGCCACCCAACCAGCTGGCCTGCCAAACATTTATTACACATTCCAGAATTGTTTCTCTTTATTTAGGGCATACATTGTAGAACATTCTGGCAAGAAGACATTACCAGTGGTATCAAAATTGAAAGGATGTTACACACTGGTTATTATCAAGGTTTTTGATATTTCCTCAGTATCTCCTGTGAGTGGCGGCGTATCTGAAGCTCGCTCATAACTCAGATTTTGGCTTGCAACTCAAAATAAAAAATCAATCAAGTGATGGCTTGTAACTCGGAAAACTCATAAGTTGGGGCACTCGTAAGTCAAGGTACCACTGTATATACTGGCTTCCTCAATCTTTTGTGTTAGTGTGACTCTGTACATGGTCCAAGTTGGACTGAAATGTCATCATAAGCTTTTCTCTCTTATGTGCAAGTTGTGTGTGTATTGTTCCAGTCACAGTATTGTGTCTTTTTGTTCTTCAATAATTCATACTAACTGTAACCACGGCTCGACCAAATCTCTGTGCCCCAACTGCTGCTATTTTTAACTCGTCAACATTGTAGGTTATTGAAGCTCCTCCAACTCCTAGAAGGCCTAGGCGTATCAGCATACGACTAGCCATTCTGGAACACATACAATATGAATTATAAATGAGTTTTTCATATCTATACTGTACAATATACATGTATACTACAGCATTTCCAAAAATATACATATGACACAAAAAGTATCTACAGTCCGTTTACTGTATATTTCTATACAGTAATTATATCTGACAAAGAATGTTAAAAATACATAAAGTTATATAATTTTGATGGAAATTTGGGTTTTTAATGAGTTAAAAAAAGATGGTGCGTGCTAGAATTAAGAAGAGTTTAAGTAGGGGATCATTTTTTTTTGTTTACTTATTGGGTAGTATATAATTAATTCAATGATCATGATAACAATTTATTTATTTATTTTAATGTCTTTGCAAACAGTACATTGAGATTGTGTATATACAATAGTGGGATGCAATACAAAGAGAACCTCTATTATGCCTTGGCATTATGGGCCAACTTAACATTATTGGCTTACATTCTACTTAATACTAAGAAATAGTATATCATAGTTGTACAGTAGGAAAGTAATTATTTCATAGTTGTACAGTAGAATATTAATTATAAATAAATCAAAATTTGTATAATACAAAGATATACGTATTTATATTCTAAAATGCTTTTGTGAAAAACAATGATTCAATTATATTCCTGTCAACAATGGATAAAAGGTTCAATGTGATTGTTTCAGTTATGATGTGGGAGTACATAGGTGAGTAAATGTATACTGAGTACAGTGGACCCTCAACCAGCGATGGCATCGATTAACAATAAATCTGACTAGCGATTCATTTAAACGCAAAAATTTTGCCTCGACTAGCACTTAAAAACCCGACCAGCGCTTTTCGTTCCGTACCATACGCATCCACTTTGGCCTGAGCGTGCCTCACTTGTCCCTTTGGTGCCAGTGTTTACAAGCCAGCCAGCCACCGCGGTCGCTTCCAAACATACAACTGGAACATTTCATATTATCACAGCCTTTTTAGTGATTGCACCTGCAAAATAAGTCACCATGGGCCCAAAGAAAGCTTCTAGTGCCAACCCTACAGCAAAAAGGGTGAGAATTACTATGGAGATGAAGAAAGAGATCATTGATAAATATGAAAGTGGAGTGCGTATCTCAGAGCTGGTCAGGTTGTATAATAAACCCCAATCAACCATCGTTACTATTGTGGGCAAGAAAACGGCAATCAAGGAAGCTGTTCTTGCCAAAGGTGCAACTATGTTTTCGAAACTGAGATCGCAAGTACTCGAAGATGTTGAGAGACTGTTATTGGTGTGGATAAACGAGAAACAGATAGCAGGAGACAGCATCTCTCAAGCGATCATATGTGAAAAGGCTAGGAAGTTGCATGACGATTTAATTTAAAAAATGCCAGCAACTAGTGATGTGAGTGAATTTAAGGCCAGCAAAGGTTGGTTTGAGAGATTTAAGAAGCGTAGTGGCATTCCTAGTGTGATAAGGCATGGTGAGGCTGCCAGTTCAGACCACAAATCGGCTGAAAAATATGTGCAGGACTTCAAGGAGTACATAGACAGTGAAGGACTGAAACCTGAACAAGTGTTTAATTGTGACGAAACAGGCCTGTTTTGGAAGAAAATGCCAAGCAGGACGTACATTACTCAGGAGGAAAAGGCACTCCCAGGACATAAGCCTATGAAAGACAGGCTTACTTTGTTGATGTGTGCCAATGCTAGTGGTGATTGCAAAGTGAAGCCTTTATGGTGTATCACTCTGAAACCCCCAGAGTGTTCAGGAAAAACAATGTCCTCAAGGCTAATTTGTGTGTGCTGTGGAGGGAAAACAGAAAGGCATGGGTCACTAGGGACTTTTTCTATGACTGTTACCCAGCAATTTTGCCCCCGATGTGAAAAATTACCTAATTAAAAAGAAATTAGACCTTAATGCCCCCTGGTATTAGACAAGCCCCTGGTCACCTACAGTTTGTGGCGGCGACTTTCTGGGACATGACTTCATTAAGGTGAAAATTTTTTCCCTCCAATCCCACCCTCTCCCAGCCCATGGACCAGCAGGTTATTTCCAACTTCAAAAACTGTACACAAGGCTATTTTTTGAAAGGTGCTTTGTAGTGACCCCCGCCAACTGACCTAAAGAGTTTTGGAAAGTCATTTTACCTCCTAAATTGTGTAAACATTATGGAAGGCTTGGGGAGGGTCAAGGGCTTGAACTCTGCTTGGAAAAACTGTGGCCGGAATTTTGAAACAAAAAGGGATTTTAAAGGGTTTTTGAGGCTAACCCCGAAATCCTATCCAAATTTGAGGAAAATCCATTGGGGCTTGGGAAGTCCTTGGGGTTGGAGGTTAGGGGAGGATGTGGAAATTTTGGTTGGTGGGGGACAGTGAAGAACTAACCACTGAGGCTGCTAGATCATCTGATGAAAAGGGGGCAACCTAGGAAATGCTTCGGAGGGGGGGGAGAAGAAATTGAAGAATTTCCCTACTTCAAAAGATTAAAAAATCTGAAATGGGGGCTTAAAGTGCAAGCTTTATGGAAAAAATAATCACCCTGACACAGCTACTCCAAGCCGTGTTGGCAACCTGTCACTGACAATGTTTGAACCCCTTTAAAAAAGTCATAAAGGAACGAGAGGTACGGGGCCTCTATGGACAGATATGTTGTGCGACAGAAGTCCATGACTCTAAAGCGGGTCCTAGTGGCGTTAAAAGAACAGGGAAAGAACCCCCAGAAAAAAGACTTGTTTTCCTCAAGTGCTAATGGAAGAGGATTCCCTTCTAAACAAAAGAAGATAACGCTTCCCCTCCTCCCATCCCTCAATCATCACCGGGTAATTTCATTTTTTAACTTGCAGGGTAATCTTCAGTTTTTGTGTTTTAAAATTTAAATTTTTCATGTGGTAAAAATTTTTTTTTTTAAATACTTTTGGGGGGGTCTTGCTGGTTTATTTGTTTTTCCATTATTTCTTTGGGGAAAATTAATTTGACTAACGATTTTTTTTGACTAACGATGAGCTCTCGGGAAGGGATTAATATCGCGGTTAGGGTCCACGATTTAAAAAATTTAGTCTAGGGTGATTAAGTGGCTTTTAAGAAGAGTCTTAAATTGATTTTCAGACGGGGTTACTTTAAACTTTGGAAAATAAAATTCCATTTTTGGGGGTCCTTTTTTTTGTGCATAGGGTTTTTACACGTGTGATATGGAACACGGGTTAATCAAAAAGGATTTGTCTTGTGTTGTGGTCATGGTCCTGTTTTGGGTTTGGGTGAGGAAAATTTTGAGTGGGGGGTTTATATTTGCTGTTTTGTTCTATGTATGAAGTAGGCACATAAATAACATGGATGTTTTTTAAATGGTAAGCAGATTCGGGACTTTTAAAAATTGGGGGGAGTACTCCCCAGGAGGGGGAATTTGTTTCATTCTTATGGCCTTTTTTGCGGTTATTGGGGGTTTTTTGGTGATTGGATGTTGTTGTCCCCATCCCAAAAACCCATATGTAAGATAAGGGTATATAGTGAATGGTACAGTGCGAGGGAGCTGATTGTGGAACAAGTACCTTATTTTGTAGTACCTACTTTTTTTGGAGATTTTTCTTGGTGATTTGTTGTAGTGTTTGGGGAACTTAAGGCACTGAAAGGTGGAAAACCTGGGAATTTTAACTCGTGAGTTTTGGGGACAATGATCCATTTACGTAATGTTAATTGGATCTTTGCAGCTTTTTTTCCAAAACTGAATGAAAGGGGTTTTTATCATGTTCAAGGAAAGTTTGTTAGTCATCTTTCCAGGCAGAATTTTCTGTAATTCAGCATTGATGTTTTTGCTGATGACTGCATTTGGGGGGGGAAAAAATACATATGTATGTCATTTGCAAAAATAGGGGTTTTGAGTAGCTGTGATGCATTCGGTAGATTTTGATGTAGATGAGAAAGGGGAGTAGTAAAGGATGCTTCCTTGTGGGACCCCTACGTGATTGGTTGGGGGGGGAGGATTTTGCATCATTTGCATACACATTGATTCTTTTTACTAAGGTATGACTTTAGGTAGTGAGGGAGGGGGCCCGATCCCATAGTGCATTAATTGGAGTCAGTAGTTCATGGTCAACTGTATCAAAAGCTTTACATAAATCAATAAAAAGCCCAGGGGGGGACTTCTTTTTTTCAAGTGCGGTTATTTTATTTTTCTAGCATGTGTATGATAGCGTTTTTTGTGCTTTTTTTTTTTTTTTCTGAATCCAAATGCAAGGGTTTAAATGTTTGTGAACGAGGTGGAAAAATAGATCCGTCTTGAATTAATTTTTTCAAAGATTTTACAGAGCATGGTAAGTTAGATATTGGGTCATAGTTTTTCAAGTCAGTTTGGGTCACCTCCTTTATGAATCGAAACTCTCGCTATTTTGGGGATTGTTGGGAAAGGGTAGATGACCAATGGATTTGTTAAAGAGGTTGCAATAATTGGTGAAAATACCTGAGAAGCTTTTTTGTAATAAAACAGGAAAGTTGTTTATATCTCCTCCCTTGTTTTTAAGGGTTTTTTTCATAGCATAACTTCAGTGGGTTGGTTGGACAGGAATAGCGTATTTTGGGTGTTTCCTTGGGGTATCGAGACGGGCGTTTTTCTTGGTATTTTGTTTGCTAGTTTTTTTCCTATGGTAGAAAAAAACATTAAGTCTGTTTGCTGTTTCGGTTGGAGTGATGGGGGTTTCTCATTTTGTTAGTTTGATTTTTTTTTTTTTTTTTGGAAAATTTTTGTTCCAAGAATTTCAGATAGAGTTTTCCAGGTTTTTTTATAACCCTTTGATGTTATTTAAATCTATTTTTCTAAAAAAATTTTTTTGACCTTCTTACGGCGGGTTAATGTGACGATAATTTCTAAACTTTTCCTAGCATTTGACCCATTCTTAACCCATTCTATATTTGTGTTTTGTTTAATAATTGAGGATTTGTTGGTGTTACCCGGGGATTTTCACTTTTTGTGTGATTTTTTTGTTTTTCGGGGGGCAATTCTTTGTAGGGGCTTTGGGTTTTTTTTAAAAAATTATTTATACATT